CACCCCCAGAGCTTGTTGCTCTGTGTTCTGTGGGCTCAGCTTCCTTCACCTGTAGCAGAGGTGAGGTGGTATTTCACTCACAGCTGCAGTGCCCAGAGGCAGGGGCCGCCCTGGGAGGCAGAGGGTCCTGGGGCGGTACAGGGGGCAGGGCCCTGCCGGTGGGTGTGGCTGAGGTTCTGGATGGGACAGCGAGCCCTTGGCACTCAGAATTGGGCTGGAACCGTCATTGAGCCTGTGCTCGGCACTGGGAAACACTTCACATGCTTAAAGCCCTTTAATCCTCCCACACCACGTACAGTACAGTAGTTTAAGCAGCTTGGAGTTACAAGCCTTGGGGACATAAGGGAGCATGAATTATAGAGGGCAGTTTGCTGCCAACCTGGGGCACAGGGGGGGAAGGCTGGGAGGTGACCCGAGACAGCCGGAGGGCCTCTGTGTCAGGTGGTGACTTGACCTGCCATCAGGGAGGGACCATGGGCAGCAGCGTCTTGGGAGTTGGCTGTGGATCTGCTGTTTTGCACACTAGGGCAGGATGGGGCATCTGCTCAGCTCTGAGAGGCGGGGACCAGGGCCAGGCTGGCAGTGCAGGGAAAGCTGAACTTCCCAGTGGGGAAGAAGCTGAGAGGAGGGGTGGTGGTGGTAACAGATGACAGTCCCCTGGGCCCCAAAGCATGCACATGTGCCTGTGCTGGGGCTGGCCACAGCATTGTTGCTTTGCTGCCTGTGGTTCCTGCTGATGGGCAGGAGCAGTGTGGCCCTTGGCAGGCCGGGTCACTCCTTTCCTTGTGGGTCAGCCCCTCCTGACAGACTGGCTGGGCTCCAGGGTGTCCTTGCTCTGTGGCCCACCCGCCTGGTGATACCTCTCCTGGCACCGCCTGCCTACTCCATCACTTCCCAGATGGCCCCTCCTGAGAGGACAACAGCAGGCAGCTGGCTGCAGGTCCTCATGATGGTCACGGGCGTGAGAGCCATGCAGGTCCTGCCACACCTGGGCCTGGGGCTCTGAGCCTGTGGGTGCCCCACCCCCACAGGCCGTGTTCGACTGTGTGGTGAACTCACTGAAGAACGTTCTCAACATCCTCATCGTCTACATGCTTTTCATGTTCATCTTCGCCGTCATCGCCGTGCAGCTGTTCAAGGGGAAGTTCTTCTACTGCACCGACGAGTCCAAGGAGCTGGAGCGGGACTGCAGGTGACCCGAGCACCTGTGAGGGCTGAGGGTGAGGGGGGCCTACTGGGACTGCAGGTGGCCCAGGGCAGGCAGGCAGCACAGAGCCAGCAGTGGGAGTACTGGAGGGCGGGGCACATGCCTCTGACTCAGGGCCACACCAGTGCTCCTAGGGTCAGGGACCAGCCATGTCCGGGGGCCAGGCTCTTCCTGCCGCTGGCATGCAGGGAGCTCACCAGGACACGGGGTTGTGACTGGTGAGCTCTGTAAACCCTGGAGGCCCCAAGCTCAGTGGGGTCACCGGGTTGCTGCAGCCACTGTCACCATCCTGGGCCCGGCCCCACAGCAGAGCTCATAGGGGAGGCGCCCTCAGGAGTAGGGGAAGCAGAGGTTGTGCCTGTGTAGACGCTGAGCAGAGCAGCGGCCAGGTCCCTCCTCACCCACAGAGATGGTGCTGCTTGTCTCTCGGTGACTGTGCCACTGGGCACATGGGTGGGCTCCACCATGCGGCCTTGAGAGCAGCGCTGCGGGCCGATTCCAGTGCACGTCTCACAGGTGTGCACACCACTGTGGACCATGCTGTGCTCCCCTCCTGCGGGTGCTGCCTAACCCTTGCGTCGAGTGGCTCTCCCGCCAGCAGGACCAGGCTCAGGAGCCCATGCCCTATGCTGGTGTTTCTGTCTTGCTTTGAGCCTACCTGAGGGGGGGCTCATGACATTTCTCTGTGCTTTAATTTGCACCTGTGTGATAACCTTTTCCCAGGGGCATCTACCGTGCGCATCTCTTCTGGGGACGTGTCTGTGCTGGCCTTCACCATGGTTCCTGTATGGGTTGTTTGTCTTTTTCTGGCTGATTTGTAGGAATTCTTTAAAACCCTGGATAGGACTCCTTTGCCAGATCTGTGGATAGTGGCTCCTGTGGCGCTGTCCACTCTTTCAGTGGTGTCTTGTGAAGAGTGTGTTGACTGTAGTAGTTCCTGCTTAGTGCTCTGTGTCCTCAGGTCAGAGAGATGTCTTCTCATACTTTCCTCTAACAGGTGTATTTTTGCCTTTCACACTGGGTTGGTGGTGTGTCTGGGTTATTCCTGTGTGCTGTGAGAGGTGCAGAGGGAGGTGAGTTTCTGTAGCTGGGCACCCATTTGACCCAGAACCGCATGTTTGAAAAGACCACCCTTTTCCATGGCAGTGGGATTCTTTGCTTTTTCATAAAAATAACTACTGAGATGGAATTCCTATATGGAGTTCATCTGTTGAAAGGGTACCACTCTGATTTTAGCATATTCACAGGTGTGTGCAACCACCACTCCAGTCCACTTGAGAACGTTTCCATCAGTTAGAACTCACTGAGAGCCCCCTGTCTTCCCACCGCCAGCCCTAGCAGCTGCTGACTTATGTTTTGTCTCTATAGGTGTCTTTCTGGACACTGCGTGTAAGTGAAATCATACAGTACATGGCCTTCTGTGTTTCCGAGGCCATCTCTGCTGTGGCAGGTCCAGTGTTGCTCCCTTTTGTAGATGGGCCACGTTTTACCTCTTCATTCATCTGTGGGTCGACATCAGGTTGTTCCCACCTTTTAGTCAGGGTGACCTGCTGGGAACACATGCGCATGTGTTTGTGTGGGCAGATGTTCCCTTTTCTCCAGAGCAGATATGTTTCTATTTCACCAACGGGGTGGCCGGTCAGGTCACATGGCAGCTCTGTGACAGTGTTGGGAATGACCAGACTGTTCCCCTCGTCCACCCTGCAGGGTGTGAGATCTGAGGCCTCCGCGTCCCACCAGCATTTGTTATTTTCCTTTTAAAGGTTCAGTCATCGCCATCCTGGTTGGGTGCAGGGAGTGTCTCCGTGGTTCTGACCTGCATTTCCCTAGTGACCAGTGATGCTGTGCCTCTTTCCATGCGCTAATTGGCCATTTGTATGTCTTCTTTGGGAAAATGTCTATTCAGAGTCTATACTCATTTTTAAATGAGACTGTACTCAGTGGGGTTTTTTTTGGTTTTTTAAATATATCTGTATTGATTTCAGAGAGAGGAAGGGAGAGGGAGAGAGAGAGAGATAGAAACATAAATGATGAGAGTAGATCGAGCCCCCAACCCAGGCATGTGCCCTGACCGGGAATCGAACCACGATTTCCTGGCTCCTGGGTCGATGCTCAACCGCTGAGCCACGCCCGGCCAGGCAGGTATTTGTGGTTTTAATAGTTGATTATAGCGTTGGCCAGTGTGGCTCAGTTGGGCGTCGTCCTGTGCACCAAAGGTCACAGGTTCTGTTCCCAGTCAGGACACATACCTAGGTTGTGGGTTCGCTCCAGTCCGGGTGTATATGGGAGGCAACTGATCGATGTTTCTCTCTCTTCCTTCCCACTTCTCTTAAATCAATAGAAATCAATAGAAAAACAAGTGTTACCGTTTTAGCTTCTACATGTAGGCCTTTGGTCCATCTTGAGGGAGTTGTGTGTGGTGGGAGCAGGGGTCCTGCATCATGCCTCTGGGTGTGGACACCCTGTTTTCTGGCACCACCTGTTGCAGAGCCTGCTCTCCTCCACTGAGTGCACAGCACTTCAGAGGTCATTTGGCTTTGACCTCTAACTTCTGTGTGTCCCATTCGCAGGGGCCAGTACTTGGATTACGAGCGGGAGGAGGTGGAAGCTCAACCACGGCAGTGGAAGAAGTACGACTTCCACTATGACAACGTGCTCTGGGCACTGCTCACGCTGTTCACGGTGTCCACGGGAGAAGGGTGGCCCATGTGAGTGCTTGTCGAGGTTGGCCCGGCAGAGTGAGGGGCAGCTAGGCAGGGCCCCTCTGGTTCCTTCATGTGTGTGTGTCGGTCGCTCAGCAGGTGGCCACAGGCTCCTGTTCCTGCTAGGTGAGGCATGGCCCCTCTCCGAGTACAGTGGAGTGATCTCCCAAGGGTCCTTTTGAGTGGCCAGAGGCCAGAGGGAGGGGAGGGCTCTTTCGTGTCTCCCTGTACTGGCCCACTGGCCTCAGTTAAGGCAACCAGAGGGATGTTCTGGTCCAGAGCCACGTTGAGTAGCAGGGGGCTTCCTCTGGGGCCAGGAGGACCACCCCTGAGAACGTAGGGTCAGTGCTCAGGCTGGAGACCCTGCTGAGCCCTGGGATTCCTGAAGCAGGTGAAGCCGGGCAAGTGGGTGGGCTGGGTGTGAGGTGTGAGCTGGGAGTGGGCTGGGTGTAAGCTGGGAATGAACTGAGAGTGAGCAGGGGTGAGTGGGTGTAAGCAGGTGTGAGCCATGAGCTGGTGGGGCAGGGCAGGGCAGAGCTGCTGGGCCTCTTCCCCCTCCCCTGGGACAGAGCCTCAAGCCACATGGAGCCTCCCCTTGGAGGTCCTCCAACAGCCCTGCATGCAGACCCTGTTGGGCAGGGCGCCCGTGTCCGGTAGAGATGTCTGTCCTGGGAGCTTGAGCCCACAGGGGCAGGGCCGTCCCTGTCTCGGCCCCTTCCTCTGACTGTCCTGGGCTCTGGCATGGAAGCCTCCCCTGGGAGGAAGCCGTGACTCCCTCGGTCTGTGTATGGGTCCCTGACCCTGGACGTGGGCTCTCACCCAGGGTGCTGAAGCACTCCGTGGACGCCACCTACGAGGAGCAGGGCCCGAGCCCTGGGTTCCGCATGGAGCTGTCCATCTTCTACGTGGTCTACTTCGTGGTCTTCCCCTTCTTCTTCGTCAACATCTTCGTGGCCTTAATCATCATCACGTTCCAGGAGCAGGGCGACAAAGTGATGTCTGAGTGCAGCCTGGAGAAGAATGAGGTGGGTGCCCCTCCTGGGTGTCCGCGCGTGCTCCAGGGCGAGCTGGGGCAGGACGGGCCCTCAGGCTCCTGCGCGGGGCTTGCTCGCTGCCACTCACTGGCTCGGCTGGGGGCTGTGAGGTGGTTGGGCTCAGTTGCCTTCTCTCACGGGCTGCCTGCGAGGGTGAGGGCAGCAGGTGCCATGCGCAGTGGGTGCTGCCGTGGGGTCCCCGCTGAGCTACAGGTGCTCCTTTCTCCCCGAGCAGAGAGCCTGCATTGACTTCGCCATCAGCGCCAAGCCCCTGACGCGGTACATGCCACAGAACAAGCAGTCCTTCCAGTACAGGACGTGGACCTTCGTGGTCTCGCCACCCTTCGAGTACTTCATCATGGCCATGATCGCTCTCAACACCGTGGTGCTGATGATGAAGGTGTGTCAGCTGTCTGCCAGGGCGGGGGGCACCAGCTGAGGGTGGGGCATCGCCTCTTCCCCTGCTGCCAGCGGTGTGGGAGCTGCAGGTGCTCCCAGCCTGGTCAGCACAGGGCTGTCGATCCTGCTTCCCTGGGGACTGAGATGAGGGAAGGAAGGTTCTGGGCGTCCGTGGCAGCTGATCCTGTGGCCAACGCTCTCCTCCCGGGCAGTTCTATGATGCGCCCTACGAGTACGAGCTGATGCTGAAGTGCCTGAACATCGTGTTCACGTCCATGTTCTCCATGGAGTGCGTGCTCAAGATCATCGCCTTTGGGGTGCTGGTACGTCCATGACGCCCGACTCCCTCGGGGCCATTTCATCTGTAGAGGGACCTTGGGGGGGCTCCTAGTTTGGAGCTGGGAATTCCCTGAGCCCCAGAACACATGCAGCACTGTGGGGGCCCCACTGCCCAAGCTTGTCCTCAGCCCAGCTCCTGGAGGCTAGTGGGGCCAGGTTCCCCCTCTCTGGCCACATGGCTCTCAGCTCTGCGCCTGCCCAGCCCAAGAGTGTCTGCATGCTTGGCCTTGTGCTATTCCCCCTGGGGTGTCCCATCAGTCCCCTGGCCCTTTCTTGACCAGGGACTCCTTCTGGAACCCCACCACTGGCACTCACTGCCCTCTTCTCTCTAGAACTACTTCAGAGATGCCTGGAACATCTTCGACTTTGTCACTGTGTTGGGAAGTATTACTGATATTTTAGTAACAGAGATTGCGGTAAGTAGTATTTCCTGTCCCCCCCAGGGCCCCAAGGTAGTTTCTTTACAGGGGCGCTCCCTCCCTGCTGCAGGGGCTCCCCGAGCCCTGTCAGGAGGCTCCCCACAGTCAGAGCTTGGGGAACAGGTGTCATCTCAGCAAGTGTTTGTTCTTAGGTGAGAAAATCTTCCCCAAACATCTTCTAGGCTGGTGGCTCATGGTAACAACCAGACAGGAAGATGAGAATCCTTTACGTTTGTGTGTCTGACAACTCGGCACACAGTGTGTAAACTGAAACCAGTAAGAATTTAGAATAGTTCAAAATACCAGGATTGAGCATCATGCCTCGGTGTGCGGGGCGGGCAGCTGAGGAAGAGGCGACAGGCACGGGTACTGGGCCAGCTGGGTCCCCGCTGACAGGCTTGGCTCTTCCACTGTGTGCTGGGCTGGGGGCCCACAGGACGCCATTCATGAGGACAAGCTTTCGTGTCCCAGACGCAGGCCTCATGGTCAGACAGGGCCTGGCAGCCAGGGGTGGCCTCTCTCGCAGGGATTTGGCCCTGCTCCAGCATCTGAGGTCTGTATGGACTGTCCAGTGGGGCGTGTGGGCTCCACCCAGGGTCTCTGTCCACCCAGACAGCCTGGCACGGGACACTGTGGCTCAGATCTCTGTCCTGAAACCTCTCGCATCTGACAGGTGAGTCCCACCAGAACGGGCTCAGCGACCGTGCTGCCTCCAAAACCCACAGGGCCCGTGGGGGAGGTGTGAGGCACAATGACCGACTTGTCCCCCACTGGGCGCACCTCACACCACCCGAAGTACAAGGAGAGATCGTTCCATACTGAGCAGGTTCCCCAGAGAACGGGACGCGAGAGCATGTTCCCTGTTTGTACGAGATGAGTACAGTCCTAACACCCGATTTAAAAGGACAGTGTGAGAAAGGAAGGCCGTAACCCACACCCGCCGACCGCTGTGTAGATGCAGAATTCTGAACCTCATGTGACAAGTGAGCCCACGACATCCAGGGAAGAAAGGACGGCTTATCTCAGGATGCAGGGCTCTCTCTCGAAAGTGTGTGCCTGTAATTTACTAGTAACATGGTCTGTCAGGGCTTCAGGGACGACACCCAGTAAAATTCAGGTTTTATTGACGGTAAAAGTTACTAGAAGCCTATGAATAGCCTGGTGAAGAGCACTTACCAGAAGCTCCATGCAAACACCACATGTGGTGCGATGTTTGGAAAGAGTGTCCTTCAAAACAAGAAGGGGCCACCAGGCCGTGAGCAGGACCCCTTGTCAGCACTGCACTCGGGCCTGGCCGTTCAGTGCAGGAGCCTCAGCTCCGCCTGCAAGACTGCCCGGCGCCCGGTGGTCCGCAGTGAATCCTTGCTGTGTGAGTGGACAAGAAAAATAAATGGAACGTCTGAAGGTCCAAGGAGGGGTGGGCAGCGCTGTCACTGTCACAGACAACATCACTCTCGGGGTGAATTCTGGAATCACGTCACACTGAGAAGAGACCAGCAGGGCTGCTGAGTGTGCCATCCCTCGAGGAAGCTGATCCCCTTCCTTACAGGGCGGCAGTTCTGACGGCAAACCTGACAAGGGTGTGTGTGCGGGATGCTTACGTGGAGCCTCACCAAACCTCATGGAGACATCACGGGAGAGCCAGATGGAGTTACCTCTGTTACAATAGTGACAGTGTCCCCCACCCCAACCTGCAGACTCAGGCAGTTTCAATAAAAATACCGATTTTTTTTTGGTCTGTTTTGAAACTTGACAAGCTGCTTCTACAATTTATAAGAAGGAGCAAAGGCCCCAATAGTCATGATACTTAGGAAGGAGAAGGTGCTGCTGGGGGTGTGGGAGGGAGGCTGTGAGGATAGCCATTGGGACAGTGGGACTGGCCTGGGTCAGACCCCATCGTGCCCGGGACCTCATTGTGCGAGAGCTGGACTGCAGCTTGGTGGGGAGGCAGCCCGGCCACCCACGGCCAGCACTGTGATTCACGATGCACGTGGGGAAGCCGACATCAGATCTCGGTTCACACCAGTCACCAAAAATCTACTTCAAATGGATGAGAAGACTTAAGTATAAGAGGCAGAACTTTAAAACTCTGAGAAGGAAACACAGGAGGATGTCTTTAAGACCTGGCGATAGGGACAGATTTGTTCAGCAAAATACAGAAAGCACCAGCCATGACTGAAAAAAAAAGTGTGCAGTCAAGCCTCTGTTTATCAGAAGGAAGGGCCATTGTGAACAGGGAGGACCCTGCCTTGCGCTCCTTCATCCCTACGTGAAACAGTGGAGCGGTGCCCAGCACGTGCCGGACACTGGGTCCTGGAACAAAGGTCAACACCCCCGCTCTCCTGGAGCCTCATTCTGGCGGAGGCACCCAGGAGGTCCTGGGGGCTGTGGGAGTGCATCCAGACAAGACGCCAGCGGGATGGTGACTTTCTAGTAAAGGCGCCGGGAGACCTGGGGGAAGAACAGGCCGAGGCTCCGGGCTGCGCTGTGGGAGGGGCAGCAGGCCCAGGAAGGGCCATCAGTTCAGCTTTTATTTTGAGTGAGACAGGAGGACGGTTTGGAGGGCTTTAGGGAGAGGAGTAACACCATCCAGCTTTTCAGACCGTACCTGCTCTGTTGAGAACATAGGGTAGGGCGCAGGCAGAGGCAGCGAGACCCCCGGGCATTGCCGTCATTGCCTTCTCCCAGACACAGAGCTGAGAGGGCCCGTGGTGCAGCTTGGTCATTTGGGAGGTGACCCTAGGAATACGGGGGCTGGTGAACAGAGCCACAGCAGGGGCAGCTGGGGAGGGGGCCTGTGTCCCGGCCTGGGAAACGTCTCAGGAAGGTGTGGGTGCTGGCACTGGGTCTCAGGCCTGCGGGGATGCCGTGCTGCCCAGCGTGACTGCAGTGAGCCAAGTGGAGGAGCTGGGCGAAGGGTTGTCGAGTCTGGATATAACAGCGCAGAGCCGCACACAGACGGGTGGGTGTGAAGGTGGCTCCGGAACGGCATGCTGTTCAGTCCGAGCATTTGGAAAACGTATCGTCGTGGACTGAAAGGGGAAAGAATGCGGGTGGGACGGGCGTAATCGGGCAGCCGGACAGAGGGCCGGAACTTGGAGGGGATCCGGCCGGTGATGAGGTCGGGGACTGTGAGCATGTGGATGGTGTCAGGGCTGTGAGGTCCTCTGGAGGGAAAGGAGTGATGCCCAAGTTCCAGATGCACCAGTGTTGGTGACAGAGGTGTGGCCAGGGGATGGGAGGCTTCCTAGACCACTGGCCCTGTCAGTCAGTGTCCAGAATGTTCACATGCAAGGCTCTTCCGAGCATCAACAAACAGGTGGGAGGGGGCAGAGGTAAAATGGGGTTCTACGCAAAAGCAGTGGCCAGTTCACATGGGAAGAGATGCTCCATCTCACCTCCATGAAATGACCCTGAGATGCCTTCAGACCCACCGGGTTGTCACAGTGAGATTCTAGCACTGCACCTGCAGGCAGGGATGCTGCTGGGCTGTCAGAGGGCCGCAGGGCCTGGGGCCTGGGCACACAGCCACCTGTGTCTCAGCTTCACCCGGGCACCCTCCAGAGAGTGCCTGTGCGACCTGGAGACGTTCGCTCAGGTGAGCACAGCAGCCGGGCTCGCAGCTCTGTCCGTTCACGTGGCAATGTGCACACGGCAACCTCAGCAGCAGCGAGCTCTGCTCAGTGCCCACGCACAGGCCCCATGTCCCGGGCACACAGCACAGCCCCAGTGCCAAGGTCAAGAGCAGGGAGGGACCCATTTCAGGAGCTTGTGGTGACACAGTAAAGAAAAGCAACCACACACGAGCTAAGGGCAGTTGCTCCGTGTGGGGCGGAGAGGGAGGCAGGGCTAAGCCGGTGGGGAACATGAGGTGTTCTGTTACTTTTTCAGGGTGTGTATACAGACAGATGTTTATACTTAGTCTTACGTGGTATGTTTCGCGGCCTTTAAAATCTAATGATCTGAGTAACCCAGGCAAAAAGCTGAAAGCTGCCATTTACCAAAAATAAAAAATCAGGGCCGTCCCCCCAGCTGATGGAGCTGTGGCCTCACCCAAGGGCCGTCCCTTCCCAGTGCTCCTCACAGGGACAGGGCACCAGCGTTTCTGACTCCCCTGATGAAGGGACGCAGACCCTGAGCCCCAACATGCAGGGCTGCGCTCTGGGAGCTTTCTGCACGTGCGTCCTCGCCAGAGGGCGATGCCGACGGGGCTCTGGAGGAGGGGCAGGCAGGGAGCCCAGCCAGTGAGACAGGAAGCCGCCTCCCAGCAGAGACCAGTGCAGGAGCCTGGAGTGGCCCAGCGCCTGGCCCTCAGGCGTCCTAGTTGTTCAGACCCTGCTTCAGACAAGGTCACCGTCACCCGCAGGGGGGCAGAGGGGCTGGTGGTGTGAAAGCTCACTGCCCACAGCGCTGGGCCTGAGGAGAAGGCGAAGCCTCTGGTGTCTGTCTCTTCCATCCGCAGTCACTTCATCGCTACCTGGTGAGCACTTTTTTCCTTTGGCAAAAATATTAGTGTCAGTTCCCACCCCCAGCTTAAGACAAACTAGAGCAATGGCAGAACCAGGGCCCTGCAGAGAGTGCTCCAAACGAAACTGACATTGATTTCTTTGCCTGGAAATAAAAATCAGTGCCTGTGAGTCATGAATTTGCATTGCAGACGATGCAAATGGTGCCGCTGTCCCACCAGCAGCAGGTCTCCGCAGTCCGGTCAGGAGGCACTTGAAGCAAAGCGCCCAGTGACCTGTTCGGAGTCTGAGTTTTGCTTGTGTTGATGACATTCTCTCCTTTGTTTTCTGTGTGTCCTTGGTTCACCTTAACCTACCTGCTGACTCACGCCATCCAACCAACATACAATGCGAAAACCATGTCTCCGTCTGTATGTTGTGCGCCTGCTGCTCAAACACCCCAATTTGTAAATAACACGCAATGTTCATCCATGAAAACATCACATGTAGGAAAGGGTTGGTTTCATGACTTTAACTGTTTTTAAAACCCTTCGCTTTGCTTGCTGTGCCCTCTGTGTCCTGTGAGCCCTTGAGCTGCCCTCCCGAGGTGTGTGGTCAGAGCCCGGCCCACCCACCCCTCTGGCCCCCTGCACGGTCCGGTCTGGGGCCCAGCAGGAGCTTCTGGGTAGGTCGGTAGAGCCAGGGTGTGTTTCCTCTGGGGCTGGCTCAGAGTTGGGGAGGTTCTGCAGGATGTGGGTTTGGGCCTGAGCCCAGTCGAGTCCATGGTTTCTGTCACACATTCTGCCAGCAAATGCAGGAGGTTCTGTTGCAACCCGTGGCCTCCAACGGAGTCTGCCCTGGGGTCCTTCCTGCAGGCCCCACACAGGGTCAGCCTGGGGCACAGGGCCCTTCAGAAAGGGCCGTGTAAGGTCTGCCCCAGGAGACAGTTGAGCTCCAGGCTTGTCACCGGGGCACCGATGGTTTGGGTGCGCACACCTTGGCGGGCAGGCTTATGGGGACCCACGTGGCTGACGGGCCCCCGTCCAGGTCTGCAGGACTATTGAAAGGAGAGTACAGATTTGGGAGCAGACTGAGCTGGGGCTGAGTGGAAAGTCGTGTAGAGCAGCAGGCACTTGGGCTGCCTGTTAGAGGGGACATTCGTGATGAGGGTCCCACAGTTGGAGTGGAAAGTCCTGAGTTTTAAGAAAATGACTTTTTGGTGCTGCTCAGGCTCTGACTCATCGCTGAGCCCTGTGCTCACAGCAGCCTCACCCCACGTGCCCTGCGCATGCGCGTGGGTTTAGGCATGGTGCCCATTTAATCGTCAGCCCCCCAAGAATGAAGCGAGCAGGATGGTAGTGTGTCCTGCATGCCACCAGACCTCGCCCCAGCGCAGCGTGGCCCCCAGGAGGTGCACAGGTCTCGGGGAGGCCCTTGCTTTGCTGCGGACTTGACCAGACGCACTGACGTGCTCGGATGCAGGGACGCTGGTCTTGGCCCGGGGTCAGCCCGTCACCTGGGTGGGGCGTTTCCCCAGCTGTGAGCTGTCAGATCCCCTCAGCGATTCCTCCCACTGGGCAGGGTTCCCGAATCCCCATCTTCCAGAGGACGGAGCCAGGGCCCAGAGGAACCGAATGTGCCCCCAGGGGACGTGTCCCACCTTGAGGGTGCAGTGATACGCCCTGGGGTCCTCTAGGCCTTTCCTGGCTCAGAGGTCAGAGGGTCAGGCAGGGCCTGGCTTTGAAGTCGGCGTAGCTGCTCCAGGTGTAGCAGGAGCCATGGACTCCGGGAGGAGGAGGCGTGTCCACCTCCAAGGGGTTGCTGAGGCCAGGGGTGACCGTGCACAGCCGCGGGGGGGCTGCCGCCTGCTGCCCCGTCCTGCATGCCGGCTGCGTGGTGGCGCCTGTTGTCTCCTGCCGGGTGCGGCCACCGCTGTCTCCCTGCCACGCTGTGCTCGGAGCGGCTGTAGCTGCCGTCACTGTCTGTCCTCATGGCCCTCCGGGGCTGTCTGTCTGTTGCCACCCCTGTCTCCTGTATGCCCCCAGAGCCCCGAGAACGCAGCTTGGGAGGAGAGGGGACCTGGAATCCGCAGTGAGTGCCCCGACCAAAAGCAAGCTTGGCGTTTGTCACAGGCACTTTGGACAGGCGAGCCCCAGCCTCCTTTGTGTGCCTTCCCCTTACCCCACAGCTGCACCTTCCCCGGTGCCCCAGGAAGTCTTGTCTGCCAGCTGCCGGAGCCAATTGCTCAGAGCCAGGCAGGTGCTGGCTGACCGCCACCTGCCGGGGTTCCAGAGCGGAGACCCCCTGGAGGCAGGCCCGGCCGCCCCTCCCTCGCCGAGCCCTGTCGCCCTGGCCGGTGCAGAGTCCCCTCGGTCCCTGTGCTGTCCTCCCGAGGAGATTGGCCCGTCTGAGAGTCCTCCGGGCCCCGGGGCACAGACGGGGAGGGGGTGTCTCCCAGCTGTTGTGCACCACGGGCTCCCTCCCTGGCACAAGTGAGCGAGGGAGTTGTGGGCAGTCTGCCCCCCAGGGTCCCACCTGGAGGCCCACTTCCGCCTCTTGCTGGTCTGCGCCCACTGACGGCCCTCCCAGCAGCATTGTCCAAACCCTGGCCCACCGTGAGCGTCCCCGTGCAGCCAAGGTCCTTCACCAGCAGAGGCCAGGGTCCCTGCCACCCTGGTGGGAACCCGGCTGTCAGCCCTGAGAGCGGAGAAGTGTCAGGGAAGCTGCAGACAAGCTGTGGGTTGGGGCCACTGTCCCTGGAAGCCAGTGACATCCGTCTCCCCTGATGGCCACCAAGACCAGACAGGCAGCCCTGGAGTGCGGCCCGGCCCCGCATGCTGTGCCTTCTCTCCTCGTTCCTCCACGGTCCCCGCCACACAGCCCGTCAGCCCTGCCGCCCGCTCCCCGCACGGGCAGGAAGCAGCTCCCGCTGCGCCGGGCACCGTCTCTAAGCAGACGGGTCCCCAGCTACATCTCCTCGGGGCCACTGCCAGTCATGCCCCCTGAAAGGGACGTGCAGATAGTTCAGGGTGTCCCAGGCCGCGTGGAAGCCTCACTCCCAGGCCATCTGCCGTGGCCAGAGTATTGCTTTATTTCGGCCTGTTGATGGAGAGGTGGCTTCCACGGCGTGAGCGGCAGGACCACCAGCACTCACGCCTCCTGGGTGACCTGTCTGCAAGGGACTGGAGCTGCCCAGGGGAAGAGTCTGCCCCCCTGCGGGGTCCCGCAGGCAGAGCTTGGCGGGCTGTGTGGGAGGGGAAGGGTGAGGCCACCAGCAGGGTCCGGTCCCTTGGGAGGCACTCGGGAGAAGCAGCCCTGCCCAGCACCTGGACTGTCGGCTGCGTCCCACCCAGGTGACGCCGGCTCCAACGGGCAGCAGGGAGCTGCTTGGGAGACCTCTGCCCTCCTGTCGGGTGGGGAGCCGAGGGCGGGAGCCGCTGACCCGCTGCATGAGGATTCACCTGCAGTGATGAGCTTTACTTTCAGGTCTCTGATGGCCGGTGGCTGCGTAGACTGTGAAGTGGTGACTTTGTTTTAACCTCTCTTTACCCACCTCTTTTCGGGACCCCAGGGAAGTGGGGAGGGGTGAGAGGGGAGCAACTGTCCTGCCGTTCGGGAGGCTGACTCCTGAGGGTCAGAAAATCACCTTGTCCCCGCAGAACAACTTCATCAACCTCAGCTTCCTGCGCCTTTTCCGCGCCGCCCGGCTCATCAAGCTGCTGCGCCAGGGCTACACCATCCGCATCCTGCTCTGGACGTTCGTGCAGTCCTTCAAGGTGAGGCCCGCTGGGCAGGCTGGGCCCGTGTGCACACCCATCAGCACCCGCTGCCCATGGTCGTGGGTGCAGACTGGTGGGTTATCCAGGGTATCCTGTTGATGCTCACAAAACTCAAGTGCGCTCTGATTTTTTGATGAAGAAACGGAGACAGTCACTTGGTGGCCAGTGCGGGCGGGCCTGGGGTTGGCCACTGTCCTGGGGCTGACCTTCCTTGTGTCCCACAGGCCCTGCCCTACGTGTGCCTGCTGATCGCCATGCTGTTCTTCATCTATGCCATCATCGGCATGCAGGTGCGCGTGCCACCGGGGCGGGGCTCGGGCCCCTGGGCAGAAGGCATTGGTCACGCTCTTGCCGAGGTGGCATCTGGCCCTGGTCCCACATCCACGCTCACCCTCCTCTGCCTGGCCCTGGCACCAGGAGCCAGCAGACCAGCCTGCAGCCTGCTTTTCCATTTCAGGTGTTTGGAAACATTGCCCTGGATGATGACTCCAGCATCAACAGGCACAACAACTTCCGGACGTTTCTACAAGCCCTGATGCTGCTGTTCAGGTGTGTTGTTTGGGAGCTGCCTAGACTCAGAAGTTCCTTCACTGAGGTGCAGAGGCCACGAACCAGCCCGTGAGCCCCTCCACCTTTCACTCTCTACCTGCACTGTGCTGGCTTCCTCTCCCACCTTCCAGTTTCTCCCTTCTGCTGTCCTTTCCTGAGGGTTCCTGGGGTGAGCTCCAGAGGGGAGTCACCTGAGGGCCTGGCCAGGCCGCCTCCCCCGCCTTGCCTCTGCTCCCTGGCCGCAGCTGAAAGGCCTGCAGTGACGCTGCTGCCGAGAGGTCTGGGAGGACAGGAGATGTCCACAGAACCTTTCTTGGTGCACTGGCCTCACGTCCTCCACCTCCCACCTTACTGATGCAGGGACCCATGGGGTCAGGGAGGAGAGAGCAGGGAGCTGCCTGCAACAGAGGGTGGAGCTGTTTGGTGACCCCAGACCCCAGCAGCTAGTCTGCTAGTCTCAATGCACCTCCACCTTCTATTGCTTACGGGGCTGCCGCACCCTGGGCTCTTGGGTGTAGCCAAGCCCCCCAGGTGGAGCCTCGAGGGGCACAGGGCTTGTTTCGGGCACAGGCCTCCCTGGGAAGGTGTGCTCGGAACCTGCCTTGTACTAAGGCAGGGCATCCTCTGAGGCGGGGGCACTGGGGGGAGGGAGGAAGTGTCCTGCTGCCTCCTGAGTGTCCCTCACTAGCCCAGCCTGCTCTGTGACTAGGAGGGAAGAGCTCTGTGTGTGGTTCTAGGCAGAGGACTACCAATGTCAGACCCCACCCCCACCTCCCTGAGGTTTCGCCACCATGCTTATGTCCACGGAGGGCTGCTGCAGGGTTGCCCTGGGCACAGGCGGGGGTCTCGTGTGGGGTGAGCTCAGACCCAGTGTGCTTTGCTGAGCTACACAGAGGAGTTTCTGGCTTCTCTGCCTCAGAGGAGCAGGCGCCCTGAGGCCTACGCTGTCCTCTCTGGACTTCAGCTGGAATGTTAATTTCATGTGTTTACCTACTATATCCCTCCTTGTGCCACAGAAGATTTGAGGCCAGCCTAGGAAGTCAGCCTTGGCTCTAAGTCTGTGGTCTCAGAGATCTCTCTTCCTCCCTGCTCTTTATGTCACCCGTGAGCACCTCACCCTTCGGGCGTGTGGTACAGGCTCAACTGGCCGCTCTGCAGGACCCCTCACCCCTGACCATCATCTGTGGGGAGTGGTCCCAGCTTCCACCCAGGGCGGACACGCGGGCACAGAGGGGCCCCGGCCTCCGGCCTACCTGCAGCCTGCCGCACACCTGGCCCCTGTTGCTAGCTGCCTTGCCCAGGAACAAAAAATCTGTGCCCAAACGCCCTTCTGGTGGCTGCTCAGGCGAGGTGTTCATGGTGTATTCAGGAAGCAGTTGAGGCTGGTTTGACTGGAGTGGATGGAGGGTGGGGAAGGATGGGCAGCAGGTCACGTGGGACTGTGGGCAGTCATGTGAATTTTGGCTTTTGCCGTGAGTGACAAGATCTGACCTGTATCGAGTGGATCTGCTGGGCGCTGGGCAGGGTGGTGCAAGAAGGTGTCAGGAAGCTGTTGCAAAGAATCAGGGTGGTGAGACACGGTGAGAGTCTGTGTCTGGAAGGTAGATGAGTTGACAAGCTGGATGTGGTAAGGGAGAGACAGAAGCAGAGTGATGTCTTGAGCAGGTGGAAGGTAGAGTCAGCATGTCCTGGATTGAAGAGGTGGGAAGTCCAGGGGGACTGCGGTGGCTCTGAGGTGCCCCTGGAGGGCGCTCAGCCTGGTGCACACCAGGTTAGTTTTAGTCGTTTGGAGTGAGCAGTTTGAAAGTCTGATGCCAAGGGTTTTTTTATAGCAGCAGCAATCTGTCACCCAGACTTTACAGCTCTGCAGGCTCTCTGGGCCAGTCTGGGCCGTCCTCCTGGGCCTCACAGCTCCCCCCTCCCCCTCAGGAGTGCCACCGGGGAGGCCTGGCATGAGATCATGCTGTCCTGTCTCAGCAACCAGGCCTGTGATGAGCAAGCCAATGCCAGTGAGTGCGGCAGCGACTTTGCCTACTTCTACTTCGTCTCCTTCATCTTCCTGTGCTCCTTTCTGGTGAGTCCAGTCACTGTGCCCAGCCCAGTGCGTGTGTCCCATCTTGGTCCGTCCCAGGGCCCCTGCATTTCATGATCTCTGGCTTTGATTCGTGTCGCACTGCAAGCTGATTCCTCAGAGATGCCGCCCCATTCACCCTAAAAGGACCACCCAGCAGTGAGCTCCTCGGAACCCCTCCTTGACTCCTTGGAGAGGGTTTTGGGTTCCCATGGGGCAGTTGTCCCTTTGTTGTCAGCTGCTAGAGGATGTCCACTGTGGCAGTGAGACACAGAAAAGCAGGACTTCTGTCAGTGTGTTGGGAACAAGCTGCAGGAAACACATGGGATTTGATTGGAGCAGTCAGTGGGCTGGTCCCAGGAGTGTGGGTTTCATTCCAAGTCCTCAGAAGCCTCGGGGAGACCTGAGCAGGGGGACACAGTCTGCCTGACATGTCAGAACCCCACTCAGGTGCTGTTTATGGTCAGGGGAGCCGTGCAATGAGCAGGGACACAGGTGACAGTGGCTGGAGAAGAGAGCAGAGAGCTGTGCAGTGATCAGGGACACTGAGGTGACGGCCTGGGGAAGGGATGCAGAGGGCAAGCCAGGTGGTGTTGAGCTGCACCCTGATGGTGGAGCCGGCACGATGAATGATGGAAAGACAACTGTGTATTAGGGTCTGCGGGGCAATGGTGTGAGGGGTTCTTCCCTGAGGTGGGGAGATGGGAAGCTGCAGAGGCTGTGTATGTCAGGGTCATGCCCTGACCCCTCAGAAGACCTTTTGTGGGCAGTGGGGAGGCCAGGCTTTCTAGAGAGTCACTGCCTTATGAGTGGTGGGAGCATCAGTCTCCATGCAGTTTCCAGACACCTGAGGCTACAAAAGCCAACCAAGCTGTGGGTACAAAGTTAAGCACCTGAGCCTGGCCTCGTGATGAGGTCCCACAGAAAGCAAATCCATGATGACACACCAGCCCCAAGGCCAGCACGCCCTGCATATGCTCAGGATGAGTTGAGGAATCCCTTGGATCTAGTTGTCACTCCTCTCTGGAGAAGTGGATATTTGGTGGCCATTGTCCTTTGTGTCTTATTCCCATGGGCCTTTTCCTCGACTAAAGCAGAAGAGAAAGGAACTGGAAGCACAGTCCTGGCACCGGCTAGTCAATGTGGATCTGTGGGTAACTCACGCTTGAATCACTGGAGTCTCGTTTGGTCTGACAGAGAAATGATGGGGGAAAACTGAATTGTGATTTTTAGGGTGGGTGGCAGGACCAGGTTAGGTTGCGATTCAGTCGCTTTGATCAGAGCAAAGGGGCACTGACAGTTACAGAAAGTGAAGCTGGTGACAGCCTGCTTACAATGACCGAGTTGGATACTGTGCAGAGTCCCATGAATACTTAAGTGTTCCGGTCTTTGTAATAACCCTGAGATTGGTAGTATTATCACAGTGAATAAATGGACGCTTAGAGATAGTAAATATTTTGGTTTGCCTGTGTTTGGAACCCAAGCTGTCGAAAGGGACAAATTTCTGTAATGACACAAATCAGCATAACTGAGTCAAGAAGAAATAGAAAACCCAAAATGGCCTGTGACAGGTGAAGTGTCTGAATCGCTCATCAAAAACATGCCCTCAAGGTAAAGCCCAGGACCAGGGGGCTTCCCTGGGGAATTCTATCAGACACTTGAAGAGGAACTAACAGCAGTCTTCCTCAAACTCTTCCAAAACACTGAGGAGGAGGGAACACGTCCAAACTCTTTCTGTGAGGCTGGTGTTACCTTGATGTCAAAACCAGGCAAAGACACGATTAGAAAAGAGAACTGCAGACCAGCATCCCTGGTGATCGTAGATGTAAATGTCCTGAACAGGGCGCCACTCGCTCGTTCTAGCAGCGTGTTGAGAGGATCATTCCCCGTGACCCAGTGGTCATCTCAGGAAGACAAGGGTGGCTCAGCAGGTGAAAATCAGTCAATGTAACAGGCCCCACGAGTGAGGAAGCACCCACACGATCGTCTCAGGAGACGAGAGAAAGCATTTGACAAAACTGAACACGCTTTCATGATAAAAACACTTAACTAGGAACAGAAGGGAACTTGCTGAACACGATAAAGAGCTTTTATGAAAACCCACAGCTGACATCACATTTCATGGTGGAAGACTAGCAGCCTCTCCGCAAGAGGAGGAGTGAGACAAGGGTGCCCGCTTTCTCACTTCTGTTCAGCGTTGTGATGGAAGCCCTGCTGGAATCTTTGGCGTGAAAAGAAAGAAAAGGCATCCAAACGCAAAGGAGGAGGGAAGCTGTGTTTGCAGATGACATTGCTCCATGTGTAGAAAATCCCAAAGAACACCAACCCCCCCGAAAAAACTATAGCCAATAAACAAGTTCACCAAGTTTCGTGGTACAGAAATCAGGCGTGTTTCTATACACCAGCAGTGAACAATATGAAAAGGAAATTAAGAAAATAATTCTATTACCAATAGTATCCAAAAGAATAAAATATTTGGTAATAAATAAATGCCCATGGAGGTGAAATACTTGTACACTGGGAACTACAAAATATCACTTAAGTAAATTAAAGAAGACCTAGTTAAGTGGATGGACATCCATGTCCATGAATCAGAAGACTTAATATTGTTAAGAAGGCAATACTCCCCAAAGTGACTTACAGATTAAACACCTTCCCTGTCAAAATCCCAGTGGCTTTTTTTTTTTTTTTTTTTTAAGAAATGGAAAAGCCTATCCTCAGATTCATAGGGAATTTCAAGGAGCCCCAAGTAGCCAACACAATCTTGACAAAGAAGTAGTTAGAGGACTCATATTTCCCAATTTCAAGACTTACTGTAAAGCTGCGTAATCAAAACAATGTGGCTGAATAGACATTTTCCCCAAGAAGACATACACATGGCCAACAGGTACATAAAAAGGCGCTTAACATCACTAATCATCAGGGAAACAGAAATCAAAACCGCAGTGAGTTATCACCTCCCACCTTTAGAAAGACTATGATGAAAAGACGAGAGGGAAGTGCTGGCGAGCATGTGGAGGAAAGGGAACTTCATGTGCTGTGGGTGGGAATGTAAGTTGGTGCAGCTACTATGGAAACAGTATGGAGACTCTTCATAAATTAAAAATAGCAATGCCATATGATCCAGCAATCCCACTTCTGGGTATTTATCCAACGTAAATGAAAACAGGACACTTACGAGGTATGTGCACCCAGTGTTCATTGCAGCATTACAGTAGCCAAGCTATGGAAACAGCCTAAGTGCCCATCCACAGATGACTGGGTAAGAAGATGGGTGTGTACATACAATGAAGTGCTTTTGAGCTGGAGAAAGGCAGAAATCCTGCCATTTGTGACATCATGGATGGACCTCGGGGCATAAGCCTTACAGAGAAAGACAAATACTGCATGGTATCACTTACATGTGGAATC